AAATATAGCCTGTGTCACTCATAGATGAATTACCTTTCTAACAGTGAAAGAATTTATTAAATCGTTTTAGTAGTTTTTGAGTTTTCAATACATGCAAATGTACAAATCTTTCCTCTTTATAATGTAAGGATTTCATATAGCTCTAACGGTTTAGGCAGTGTAAGCCGAGAAAAGTTAAAGTTTAGTGAATTTTTAACGCCGGCGTCCAGAAACACGCTGTTTGTTAATAGTTCCTAAACATTAGTAATAATAAAATATACCCTATGTTACTCACAGATAAATTACCTTTCTGATGGCGAAAGAATTTTTAAAATCGTCCCAGTAGTTTTCGAATTATTTCAATACATGCAAATGTACAAATCTTTCCTCTTTATAATGTTAGTATAGATTTCATATATCTCTGATATGAATGATGAAGATGGAATCGATAATTATAACTTATGAACAAAAAATACACTTTTCTCAAACTAATAATGACCTGCAGAATCATTACAAATAATGAGAGTAAATAAATGTTTATTACTACTACAGCCGTACGTAATCGAATTGGATTTCGCTATTATTTTTGTCATCGCTAAACTCTACACTATAATCAATACCAGAATTGTCCTCTAAATTAGTTAATAAGAAAATAATAATTTTAGTTGAGTTTGATAATTATTTAAACCGAATATCGATAGTTCATAATTGTTCGCTGCGTGTTTGTTTCGTCGCTATGATACCTGTCTATAAAGTACAGCATTTGCCTTCATACAAATTGAATTCAATACTTCATATGCGTCATTTATCAAACTAAATAATCTTATTTAGACAAACTTTGAACAGTTGTGCGATAATTTAGTTGTGTGCGCGTTTTATTTATAATAAAAGTGGGGCAAACGAGCAGCGTGAACACCAACGTGGTCAACGACGCCCATGGACATCCGCAACACCAGAGGAACTACAGATGCGTTGCCGGCCTTTGAGGAAATGATAGGCTCGCTTCTTGAAGGACCCTAAGTCGTATTGGTTTGGAAATACCGCCGAGGACAGACCGTTCCACAACGCGGCTGTGCGTCTGTCGCATTTTACGTTCATCTATGTTAGTGTAGTCTTTATTGTTTGAATTTCTTTTATAAATACTTTATTTTATTCCAGGTTAGGAGAAACACACAAGAACTATCCTTTCAATATTGCGTTTTAATTTTAAGACATATTAAAAATTATTTATGACATTTACAAAATATTTAAGAGAATTATTTTTAGTTTGAATTTATAATTTCTGTAATATTTATGTTAAGAATTCTTTGATATTTAAATGGTATTTATATTTGAATGAATTATTTTGTTGTGTGGCCTTTTTTGTTACTTAATTTTATAACATAATTTGTACTTAATTATTTAAGAGTAAAGCATAATTATTTTTTATAAATGCTTGTTTTTTAGGAAAACTGTTTTTGAGATAAGTTATGAGACCCTTGTAAAAGATTAAAATAAATATTTATTTGTTTAAAAAAGATGTTTATTTAATGAAATACCAGTTAAAACAAAATAAAACAAACATTTTTTTCTTTTAATTTTAAATTGCATTTCTGACCAGCCATCTTACTCGGAAAATTAAAAAAAGAAAACACAAGAACAAACTTTTTATTTTTTTTAATTAATAACTTTTTTAATTAATAATTAATAATTAATAACTTCAGAACAGCCAGACCCGGTAATTAAAAAAACACAAACTGTCAAAGATTAATCATTTATTACAGAAATTTTAGTTTCCTTTAGTCTATAAAAATCGTCTACATCATACATGAGGTTGGAAAAATTATTATAAAATCACATAATATACAAACACACGCACAAAATAAATAATTATAAACATTAAAAATTACATCTAAATGTCGCGAATTGGCGAATCTTCAATTGTGATGGAAACCGTGTAACAAACGAATTCGAACCAAAGATCCAATGACAGTTGACAGGACGCCTGATAATTTTTAGAGTTACCAGTAAGCAAGATTTTCCCAAAATCTTTTGAAATTACCCCAAGTTGAAAACAAAACCAAACTGTATGTTAACATTTTTGAAATTCGAATTTCGAAATTATAAAAATGGCGACATTGCAATTGCTGCTTCCTGATTGGTCAAAACGCTTTCAAGGTGACATTGTTGGTTCACAAAATTGTCAACTGCCTGATCCATTAAGTTTTCAACTAAAATTGATGAACTGCTCACAGTTCAAAAGCAGATCAGCTGAATATCTAAGCATAACCTAATTGTTTTTAGCAAACATATCTAGTAAGGATTTAAATGCATTTATTTTTAGTTTTCTTGAATTTATAATGACTGAGACCATTTTTTGGCGGGTAAAATTAATTTTACTATATTTGAAGCAGATTGTAAAAAAATTTCATTTTGTATTTATAATGAAACCAATTTAGTTATTTTCTTGTTTTGTTGTTGTTTTTTTTACTAAATTTTTCAGTTATAAATGGTAAAAAAAATATTCATTTAGAAATTCTATAAAATAGTGATTTCATCACTTTTTTAGTAACTAAATTAACGCACCAAGAAATACTCATTCCAATACAAGTCTAATAATTTTAAGTTTTTTTTTTAATATTACCTGACTAACATATCGCTTTTAGAGCTACTAGCGCCCTGGGCGATATTTCTGACGCCCCCTTTTTTACCGGCTTTTAAGGAAGATTAAAGGCCTTAAGACCCTTTCCGTCCTCCCTGGGCGACCCAACACATCTACACTAACAAAATCAGTTATTTTCATAGTATTAGATGAGGACAAGCTGTTAGCGAAATTCGCCAAAATAGCGAAATGACTGCCCATTGCCTACTGTTAACAGAGCGGACACCAGTAAGTAGTATATTTAATTTTTATTGTGTAAAATGATTACTACATTGAAATTCGCCATTATAGCGAAATTCGCCAAAATGGCGAAGTCAACGACAACTGAAGGGAAATTACAATTTAGTTTGATTTATAGGTTATATATTCTTACCGAGGTACAGTCGGGTTGCTTTATTACTAGTTAATTTTAATATAATTTTAACAGCTACCATATTTAATTGAATACAAACATTCACTGATCCTAATAAACTACATATTGTAAAAATCACCGAACAATTGTGAAATACGTCAGAATACAAACCGACTAGACTCAATATAACAATTAAAAGTATGTCTCAATTTAAATCCTTTTATCAAAGTTTTTAAACTGGCAACAAAAATAAATTGCAGAAGCAATCTTTATTACCTACTTTATTATTTACTAGCTGTTCCCGTGCGACTTCATCCGCATGGAATTATAAAAAATTTATTCTATTGTTTACGTTTGTCAAATTATCAAAAGCAAATGTCAAAATGACATGACATGACAAACCTTAGCAATCTTTCCTCCTTGATGTTGGCAGCAACTTATGGTCTTTCCCACTTTAGGGTTTTTATCCAATATATTTACCCCCTAAGTTTAATGGCGTGAAAATATATAGCCTAATGCGTGACGTAAGTGTAGGGCTTTTTATTTAAAAAAGAATTATTCAAAAATATGTTATAATTGCTGACATCTTAGGCAACAAAGGAGTGTGTGTTTACGCTTTATTATAATAGTGTAGATTATTCTATTAAAAATAAAAGAATATGCCAGAGACTTCTTACTAATGGAATTAAATATTTTTTTTAAAAAAATCACTCAATAATGTTGCTTTCTAATGGTGAAAGAATTTTTAAAATATCTCCAGTATTTTTTTAATATACTAATTACATACAAAAATACATATCACGTTAAAAATACGTCTAGTAATTTTATAAACTGACGTAATCTACAAACGATCGGTAACAAGTATTTAAATAAATATTTACAAATAGAATATTAAAATGGTGGCTAAATATTTTTTATTCTACGATTTATTAACAAAAAGAGTTACATAGAAATATATATTCATAATAAGTGGTCAAAGAGATTAAGAAAACATATAGAGGAGACATTAACTTGAAACAATTTTCACATAACTAAAGAATCAAAACATATTTATATAAATAATAGGCAATATGCATGGCGCCAAATTGTACCAAACTTTTTTTAAGTATACTTTATTACTATAAAAACATTTCTGCAAAGATTTTTTTTAATATAATGTGATTTAGTGGCAAAATTTAATCATTAAAAAGTGTCTTTTTTTCAAATTCCCTCGCTAAGTTCTAAAACGCACACTATTGGTGGAAGCAAGTGGCTTATCTAATATGGCGTCGCTTGTTGTCAATACACAGTTCATTTACGTTAGTTTATATAGAAATACACTCTTGAAGTATTTTACTGTAAACACGATATCAAAACCAACTTTAAAATAAAAAATTAATGAATAGAATTATTAATTACCACTTATTTGTACCAGGAATAATAAAAAAGAATCGATTTTTGACTTTTTGACCTTCAGATACTTTGTTGTTTTTTACGTCGAAGTGACATCTGAGCGTATGTTATGAATGTAATAAGACGATTGACGTCAATTGTCTCATGACAACTCCGGTCGCGTTTTAGTCGCTCGAAAATGGTCGTAATTTTATTTTATTATTTTTAGCTCAATGGTTGAATATTTTCGCGTCAATTTTTCTGGTTATTTTATAACAAGTAGAATCGTTTAAAAAAAGAAAAAAAATAGATGCATACTCCCTATTGTATATAAATTATATTATATTTTATAACCTTTCAAAGAAGTTACCGGTGAAAAAATGTCTGGTCTATATATTTCTTTAATGTCTTTGGCGTTGATATAAGCAGTTATAAACGATTACTATCTCTAGTATCACCGTTCTTTCCTCTTCTATTCACTTCTCTTCTTCGAATTCCATTATAAAAGTACATCACAACACATATCACTAAGTCTGTGGTGTCCGGTCTAGACCGGGATGCAGTCTACAATCTCCGGTCTAGACCGGGCTGCAGTCTACAATCTCCGGACTAGACCGTTCTGCAGTTCCCGGTCTATACCGGAATGTAGTCTCCAGTCTCCGGTCTAGATCGGAATGTAGTCTCCGGTCTAGACTGGAATATTTTCGGTCTATATTCCTGCAGACTACTCTCCCTTTAATCTTTTACTGAATTCCTCCTGTTGTAGTTCACGCCATTCCTTCTTTGCCTTCATACGTTTTAACTGACCATCCCTGAAAAAGTTAAAAATGTTGTTTTAATTTATTTTCTTACTTAAATAATAAATATAAAAAAACATAGTAATAAAACGTTTCATGTATTCAATGAAATAAAATCTAATTACGCTTTTATTATTTTTTCTAAGAAATGTCCAAGTATGTATTACTATCCCGTCTTTACCTATCTTTTACATCTATGACTTTCGAGATCTGTTTAGCAGTTTAGGCTACAAACTAACAAACATCCATCTAAACTTTCTTATAATATTAGTGAGATCCTATATTCATCATCATACTTCTTATCCTACTCCCGTAGCGCAACATGTTTTTGTCCTCCACATAACTCTATCATCCGTCATCTCAGTCATCACTCCCTTGATCATGTCACCTTTCACACAATACATCTCTTTCTATGTCTACTACTGGTGTCCACACTCATAACTAATGTTCTCCTTGTAACATGTGATTCATCCCTCCTCATAACATGCCCATGCTAACCTTTTACTCCTTACCTTCTCTACCACTGGGGCTACTCTCAAACTTCCTCTAATATACTCATTTCGTGTTACACATTTATCTTAACATTTTCATTCCACATGTCTCCTTTCATCCGTCCCTTTTAATGCCCAACATTCAGATCCATACGACAAATCTTACGACGACTTTGTAAATTTTCCCCTTTACTTTAACAGTGGTAGAGCCCGCTTTAACATGTTCGCACTGTAGGGCTCTCAGCAATACCACGACCACACAGACAGGCGTGAAGTGGAAGCAATTCCGCGTTTCGTCTGATGAGTGTGGTGCCGGAGGCCCAATTTTAGGCCCTTTCCCGTCCCACCTTTTTCTATTAAGGAAAGGATTGGATGGGAAAGTAGATTTGACGGTGGAAGAGACGTATAGGAAGGGGAAATATCCTCTTTATGTGCGTATCCTCCGCTTTTGATTTAGGGTAGGCAATATATGTTTTAGGGTAGGCTATTTAGGGTAGGCTGATTTAGGGTAGGCAATATATGTTTTAGGGTAGGCAATATATGTCTATGCAGCGGTCGCTTCGCCAATTCGGCGGATATAGGTGGCCGATTGCTCGTTTGCCATCTTTTTGTATAAAAAAAAGGGGAATTTGAGGGTCACATCGTAAGATCCTATATTTTGTTTTAAATTTGTTAACTTATATTACTTACCACTTACCATAAAGAGCATCGGTGGCTCAGTGGTTTGAACACTTGACTTGTAATCTACAGGTGTTGGGTTCTAATCCCGCTGTACCAATGATTTTCGATTTTTCGAATTTCCATATGTACATAATTTACCCGACGTTCTTACGGTGAAGGAAAACATCGTGATGCAAATCGGTGAAGAAATTCAAAGATATGTGTGAAGTCAACCCGCAGTGCAGGTTGACTATGTCCTAGTCACTAACTTAGGGTAGGCTCCGAGCCCCTCGGTGGGGACGTATAGTGAGCTGGTGGTGATGATTACTTACCACATCAAATCGACGAGTCCACCTCTCCTAGCGACAACAGCTTTCACTCTATTAGCGAAGTCAACCGCCGTCTCGTTATTGTACCTATACATTGGTGGAAGATACCAAACATCGCAGACAATAGCCCAAGAACTCATCATATTCAGTAAATAATGCAGCATTCCGTACCGAGAACTGTTCCAAAACGCGTCCCCGAAACGAGGGTCATATCTAAAAGTAAAAAGAAATATATAAAATACCACAATATGTCCGTAAACACACACTTCTTTGTTGCCTAAGATGTCAGCTATTACAGCATATTTTTGAATAATTCTTTCTTTAATAAAAAGTCCTACACTTACGTCACGCTTTAGGCTATATATTTTCATTCCATTAAATTTAGGGGGTAAATATTTTGGATAAAAACCCTAATGTGGGAAAGAGACCATAAGTTGCTGCCAACATCAAGGAAGCAAGATTGCTAAGGTCGTCATGTCATTTTGACATTTGCTTTTGATAATTTGACAAATGTAAACAATAAAATAAAATTTTCATTATTCCATGCGGATGAAGCCGCACGGGAACAGCTAGTACTAATATAAATGCGAAAGTTTAGATGCATGTTTGTTAATTGTAGCCTAAAAAGCTAAACAAATTTCGATTAAATTTGGTATAGATGTAGAGAATAGCCTCGAAGAACACATAGGCTAATCATTTTTGTTGTTTTTTAATTCACGCGAACGGAGTCGCGGGCGAAGACTAGTTTTTGAATAATTATTTATTTAAGATAGAGAAGTTAAAACTTTATTTAATTGTTTTAGTTCAATTGCAAATGTCAAAATTCAAATACACAAATGACAACGAAGATCTTTGACATTGGATAACAATAATCGTTGCCAACAATCTTGCTTCCGTAATGTTGGCAGCTTGTAGTTTATGGTCCTTTCACACATGAAGGTTTATTACAATTTATTTACCCCGTAAGTTTAATAGGGTGAAAATATATAGCCTAAAGCGTGACGTAAGTGTAGGGCTTTTTATTTAAAAAAGAATTATTCAAAAATATGTTGTAATTGCTGACATCTTACGTCACAAAGTAGTGAGTTTAGGCTTTATTATATTAGTACTAGCTGTTCCCATGCGACTTCATGCGCATGAAATTATGAAAATTTTATTTTATTATTTAAATGTGTCAAATTATCAATTACAAACGTCAAAATGCCATGACATGATGACAACCTTGCTTGATTGATGTTTGCAGCAACTTATGGTCTCTTTCCCACATTAGGGTTTTTATGCAAAATATTTACACCCCTAAGTTTAATCTCGTGAAAATATATAGTCTAAAGCGTGACGTAAGTGTAGGGCTTTTTATTAAAGAAAGAATTATTAATAAATATGGTGTAATTGCTGACATGTTAGGCAACAAAGAAGTGTGTGTTTACGCTTTATTATAATATAATAGTACTCACTTGATAGCCACAGGATAAATAGTGCCGCCGACTTCAAAACTTCCTTTCTTGAACTGCATTACTGAAGTATTGTTAATACAAGTGCCTTCAGGAAATATCAAAATCGGTGGATTATCTGGCACTGAAATGTGTTCTTTTAACCTGAAAAAAGAAGAAAAAAACTACAAATTGAGGAATATACAAGAAAATATTTACTCCAATTTCATGTTTATGGCCATGACTTTATGTTATGTTCATAAACTGTCTTTCATGTTCTCCAAAAAAAACTAAATGACTTTCCCAACAACCTATTACATTTCTCTACGAAAATCTGCAAGGCTACTTAAAGGTTTTCCCATTTCGCGCGATATAAGTCGCAGGCAGGAGCTAGTGTTACAACAAAACAATCTAATGTAGAGATTTTACCTTCTAGCGACTGCATGCCTATCCTTTACTTCAGATCTTTCGAACCAAATATGGGGCGAAGCCCTAGCAAGAGCCCGCTGCAGGAGCCCTAAGAAACCGTCATGTCTTTGACCAATCTGAAATTGTAACATATTATAATACCAACGTAACTAGAGATATCGAAAACATACTAACATAAAGAAGAAAGATTTGTATTTTTGTATGTATTGAAATAAATCAAAATAACATAGGCTATATTTTTACTTTTTTAATTCCACGCAGGTGAAGTCACGAGCAACAGCTAGTATACTAATATTTAAAGAGTAAAGATTTGTATTTATGTTTGTACCAAAAACAAAATAGTTTCAAAAGTTCTTTCACCAATAGAAAGCTAGATAATCACCGAGTAACTGTATTACTAAAAATATTATTCCGCGCAAAGTCGCGGGCAAAGAGTATATATTTCCAAAATTTAAACATCTCTAATCTGGAATTAAGTCAACATAATTATTTATACAAAACCCCAAAACATTAGGACGTCACAAACATGCTTTAATGATATCCCAACAAACGTCACAATGAAATAAATTATTACAGCCTTACAAATAAACGCGGTATAAAGTTAAACTTAGGAATAAACTGAGTATATTAGTACAAATCAGTTTATAATTTTAGTACAAATTTTGCTTATACTCAGTTTATAATATTAGTACAAATTTTGCTTATACTCAGTTTAATCTTAGTACAAATTTTGCTTATACTCAGTTTATAATTTTAGTACAAATTTTGCTTATACTCAGTTTATAATTTTAGTATAAATTTTGCTTATACTCAGTT